ACTTTATCAACGAATACTTCGTCAACACACACTTTGTCACCACATACTTTGTCACCACACAGGTTGTCCACACACACTTTATCAACGAATACTTCGTCAACACACACTTTGTCACCACACACTTTGTCACCATACACTTTGGCACAACTTGACATCCACCTTCGTTTCACGTGGCAGGCGTGGCACAAACTGACATCTGCCGTCGTTTTGCGTGGCAGGCGTGGGACAGATGCTACTGGGTGGCGCCCTTGGGCCGGGATTTGGCGCCTGGGGCGCCACGCCACTTTGCGTGGCAGGCGTGGCACAACCTCACATCCACCTTGGTTTCACGTGGCAGGCGTGGCACTCATGGCACTGGGTGGCGCGCTTGGACTGGCTTGGGCGCCTGTGACGCCGCGGCACTTTGCGTGGCAGGCGTGGCACAACCTGACATCCACCTTCGTTTCACGTGGCAGGCGTGGCACAAACTCACATCTACCTTCGTTTCACGTGGCAGGCGTGGCACTCATGGCACTGGGTGGCGCGCTTGGACTGGCTTGGGCGCCTGTGACGCCGCGGCACTTTGCGTGGCAGGCGTGGCACAAACTCACATCTACTGTCGGTTTGCGTGGCAGGCGTGGCACAAACTCACATCTACCGTCGTTTTGCGTGGCAGGCGTGGCACTCATGGCACTGGGTGGCGCGCTTGGACTGGCTTGGGCGCCTGTGACGCCGCGGCACTTTGCGTGGCAGGCGTGGCACAACCTGACATCTACCTTCGTTTCACGTGGCAGGCGTGGCACAAACTCACATCCACCATCGTTTTGCGTGGCAGGCGTGGCACTTATGGTACTGGGTGGCGCCCTTGGGCCATTTGGCGCCTGTGACGCCGCGGCACTTTGCGTGGCAGGCGTGGCACAACCTGACGTCCACCTTCGTTTCACGTGGCAGGCGTGGCACAAACTCACATCCACCGTCGTTTTGCGTGGCAGGCGTGGCACTCATGGTACTGGGTGGCGCGCTTGGGCCGGCTTTGGCGCCTGTGACGCCGCGGCACTTTGCGTGGCAGGCGTGGCACAACCTGACATCCACTTCGTTTGCGTGGCAGGCGTGGCACAAACTCACATCCACCGTCGTTTGCGTGGCAGGCGTGGCACTCATGGCACTGGGTGGCGCGCTTGGACTGGCTTGGGCGCCTGTGACGCCGCGGCACTTTGCGTGGCAGGCGTGGCACAACCTGACATCCACCTTCGTTTCACGTGGCAGGCGTGGCACAACTCACATCTACCTTCGTTTTGCGTGGCAGGCGTGGCACTCATGGCACTGGGTGGCCGGGATTTGGCGCCTGGGGCGCCGCGCCACTTTGCGTGGCAGGTGTGGCACAACCTCACATCCACCTTCGTTTCACGTGGCAGGCGTGGCACAAACTGACATCTGCCGTCGTTTTGCGTGGCAGGCGTGGGACAGATGGTACTGGGTGGCGCCCTTGGGCCGGGATTTGGCGCCTGTGACGCGCGGCACTTTGCGTGGCAGGCGTGGCACAACCTCACATCCACCTTCGTTTGCGTGGCAGGCGTGGCACAAACTCACATCTACCGTCGTTTTGCGTGGCAGGCGTGGCACTCATGGCACTGGGTGGCGCGCTTGGACTGGCTTGGGCGCCTGTGACGCCGCGGCACTTTGCGTGGCAGGCGTGGCACAAACTCACATCTACTGTCGGTTTGCGTGGCAGGCGTGGCACAAACTCACATCCACCGTCGTTTTGCGTGGCAGGCGTGGCACTCATGGCACTGGGTGCCGCGCTTGGACTTGCTTGGAAAGCATGCATGCAGTCTGCCAGAATGGTATCACTACAGGCAGACTGGATGGAGACTGTTTCTGGATTTTCATCTACTCCTTTTTGGTCTCGGACGTACTTACAAACTGAGAGTTGAGAACAAAGACATCGAATGACGCGCCGTGCGAAGATACATTTGATGCTAAGTCCTCCTGCCGTAACTGCTGAATGCTTTTGGCAACCACAATGCCACCGTTATTCAGCAGTTGCGCCAGGACAAACACTATATGCTCCTGAACACGATGCAAATGTGATCGAAAGAAAAGATGGCGTTCGTCCCAGCTCAGAACAGGTTCTGTGCAAACAGTTGCAGCTATTTGTATGTCACTTGCTGTTTCTGCACTGTCCATGGCCAGCTGTTTTGTTGCAATTTCAGCGTGATCGCAACTTCTGATACTACCTGCCAGGTACTGACCTCATCGCGTACATGGCCCACGCCGACACCCGCACTCACACACACAGACACACACAGACACGCACACACACAGATAAACACACACACACACAGATAAACACACACACACAGATAAACACACACACACACGGACAAACACAAACACACACACACACGCACACACGCGCACACACCCACACACACACATCATCCAAACGCCAGTCGTGGGCCATCCGTTTTCGTGATGGTCTGCGCTGTACGTTTGCGGACACATAATCAATGGTCACGCATCGATTGCCCTTCGCCGCACTTCCTGGCGTGGGGCATCTTTGATCGTGGCCGCACACCACACACACATACTCGCACACACACACACACACGCACACCCACACACCTCACCCACAAACACAACTCATCCGTACACAACTTACTCACACATACTCGTCCACACATAACTTACTCCACACCAATGAATCACCATCTCTTTTCTCTTTCTTGCTTACCCCATGCCGTCTTTGCCTTTCTTTTGTTGCTTGTTGGAAGAAGTTGACTTGTGGGGTTATCCGGTCCTTTAATTTTTTTTTCCACCTCTTTTCTTTCCAGAACATCACCTATTGTCAGTGTTGGAATTTATTTGATGAGACTTGCGGAAGGCTGGCTCAATATCACTGGCCTTTGGCTATAGCTGTTCCGCTGAATGTGCAGAAAGGAATCCCTGCCGTACCGGACAGAGCTGAACACTCAGTGTTTTCCAAGAACCGTCAGATGGGTCTGTCGCACCATCCTTTAATCCCAATTGAAAAGACAGAAATTTGAGGATCCTTTGATGAAAAGTGCCAAGGTAGGTGAGATCCGTGTTGCTGTAGTCTTGATTTATATAGCAGAACGCCACCTAGGGACTGCTGCGGAGCAGCCAAAGATCGAGCAGGTCCTGTTGCATGTGGTGGATGCGTGCCGGTGAAATATGTGAAATCAAGTGACTAAGAGACGATTGCTCGCCCTTAGTTTGAAGGATTTGTTGTGGGCCTGCGCTTTTTTTGAACCTCACAACTTAAGATGCAGTGGCCGCAGGAAGGCATATATCTTTAAGCACTGGACACTTGCCTAGCTCACCGCTATACGTGATGTAAGTCAATCACCCACTTCCCCATGCAATGAAGCAAGCAAACTCAATGGCTTGAATAGCAACAAGTCCAAAAGTGAAATTTTGATAGAATTTCAAAGAACCAATGAGTCTTGTCTCTGTCAGTTACGGTCCTTGAATCAAAAACAGCAGTTTTGGCGTATCGGTATATGCGTATCCTTCACATTTTGGAGTGACCAGAGCTGCCTTTTCATACTGTTTTTGTGAAATCGCTATGTGGAAAATCATTGAACAAAACAATGTTTTTTTCTTGCCCTTGGTTCTGCTGCAATGCACAGTTCCAAACGTCTTGTTATCAGTCTTGCGTGCAACTCGTTCTGAAGCTTTTCTATTTTGCAGGAAGCTTCACCAAATTTGAAGGGATTTAAACTAATTTGTGGTGTATATATCCGATTATCTCATTACATTCCCCATATTTCTCCATGTCATGCATGTTTCTTTCTTTCTTTTTAAAAAGACAATATCATACAATTAAACAAACACACACAGACACACACATATACAATATGTACATATACATAATATGTGTGTGGATATATGTATAGATATACACACACACACACCCATAAACTGCTTGGGAATGTCCTCGGTCCATTTCTATGGCAGACTTCATCTTCCGCGTGATCCAATCGGTGGCGGAAACGAAGCTCTCAGCTGCCGCTGCAGTGCCATGTCCGAGGGGAGCTCGGAGCGGGGAGGATCCCATTAAGAGGGACCATGAAACCCCAGAAATCGTGGTTTCATATGGTCGAATATGATTTAATAATGTTTAATACTCAATGGTTTAATCATGTTCAATAGATGAAAACCCATGGTTTAATAGATGGTCTTTAATAGATGAATAGGGGATGAGACAACATTGAGATCAATAAGGATGGGGTATGTCATATGAGTGAGTTAGCCTACCTACTCTTGAACATGTCTTGTTGTCATGTGGGTATGGATCAATACCTATTAATACCATTTTTAGTGGGTTATTCACATCCATTTACCAGCTATTTTGATGTGAACTACAGGGGTACTATTGGTTTTGACACACTGCCATGTACATTTCCCGGCAGACCTTTCTCTTTACGCCGTTTCCCGACATCAGGAACGGTCCTATGTCGTCGCGGCTCTTGAGAGGCCTGGTGGGCCTGGATGGCGATGGAAAAATCCTCTGCGGATTTTGGTCAACGCGTAGGATTCTGGTGGATTATGACCATGGCCTTGACAAAGCCTGGCAAATGCTCGTCGACTGGGCCTCAGATATTTTTTCGGAACCAAAAACTGGTCGTTTGATTCACCATCACAAGTTTCGACTATAATATAGTTCTTCTTGAGTCACTAGTTTTGAACCACCTGTCGCCCACACAATGCCTGCTTGATCGTTCATGCTCAGTTCAGCACTGCCGCGGACGTTTGTATAGAGGCCTTAGCTTGGGGGTGGCTGTGAAACTCCTGGGCGACAATCAAGATATATACGGTATATATATATATATGTACATATAGTTAGCATTTCGGATTCAAGTAAGAAATTAGGGAGATCAGCAGTCTGGCAACAGAGTTCCAGTGGGAAAGCTGCGAATGGCTTTCAGCCCTGCGCCGACCTTGAGGCAGATAGATTGAAAGACGATCTGAAACGAGCAGCCGACTCTTACCAACCCATGGTTGGGAGGACCCAGCAACAAACTCACTGGCTGCGTTGATTCTCAGCTGGCCAGCTCCTGTGTTTCATGAATTTTGGTCATGTCTCTTTTGGAAGCATTCGATATACTGTTATACTGGCTTTCTCACATGCTTTCAATGCACTGCTGCATTTCTGGATGCCCGGACTGCGTTTGTTGAGTATTATATATATATATTATATGTATGTATGTGTGTATGTATGTATGTATGTATGTATGTATGGTAATGTAATGTAATGTAATGCAATGCAATGCAATGCAATGCAATGTAATGTAATGCAATGTAATGTAATGTAATGCAATGCAATGCAATGCAATGCAATGTAAGTAATGTATGTAATGTAGGTAGGTAGGTAGGTAGCTAGGTAGCTAGGTAGCTAGGTAGCTAGGTAGCTAGGTAGCTAGGTAGCTAGCTAGCTAGGTAGGTAGGTAGGTAGGTAGGGTAATGTAATGTAATGTAATCTAATCTAATGTAATGTAATGTAATGTAGTGTAGTGTAGTGTAATGTAATGTAATGTATGTAATGTATGTATGTAATGTATGTATGTAATGTATGTATGTAATGTATGTATGTAATGTAATGTAATGTAATGCAATGCAATGCAATGTAATGTAATGTAATGTAATGTATGTAATGTAATGTAATGTAATGTAATGTAATGTAAGGTATGTATGTATGTATGTAAGGTAAGTAAGTAAGTAAGTAAGTATGTATGTATGTATGTATGTATGTATGTATGTATGTATGTATGGTATGTATGGTATGTATGGTATGTATGGTATGTATGTATGTATGTATGTATGTATGTATGTATGTATGTATGTATGTATGTATGTATGTGTGTATGTATGTATGTATGTATGTATGTATGTATGTATGTATGTATGTATGTATGTATGTATGTATGTATGGTATGTAGTTGTATGTATGTATGTGTATGTATGTGTATGTATGTATGTGTATGTATGTATGTGTGTATGTAGTGTATGTATGTCTGTAGTGTATGTATGTGTATGTATGTGTGTATGTGTATGTGTGTATGTAGTGTAGTATGGTATGTTGTGTATGTATGTTGTATGTATGTGTATGTATGTTAGTGTGATGTATGTGTGTATGTATGTGTATGTGATGGTATGTATGTGTGGTATGTATGTGTATATGTAGTGATTGTATGTGTATATATGTGGTATGTGTGTATGGTATGTGTATGTGTATGTGTATGTGTATGTGTATGTGTATGTGTATGTGTATGTGTATGTGTATGTGTATGTGTATGTGTATGTGTATGTATATGTGTATGTATATGTGTATGTATATGTGTATGTATGTGTATGTATGTGTGTATGTATGTATGTATGTATGTATGTATGTACGCAACACAGTTGAGTATTATCCCAGAGAACACATTACCTGACCTCAACCTCAAAACAAATCTGATTCTGACCCAGTTGGGGGGTGAACCTGAGGCCCGAACAGTCAAGGAACTGTTGCCAGTTTCTCAAGCGATGGTACCTTGTTGTGCAACACTTCCATATGCATTTCTTCAGGCCTCGTGCCCAGGGGCTTGAATCTGAGATGGGGACACGCCAGACACTGTACATGGAAATCAATTCTTGCTCATTCTTCTATGCTCAGAGATATTGATGATATTGAACAGTATTGAATCCTGTGATCAAGACTCTTATCACGCACTGACCATTGATGGCTTTGAGGGACTCACCACTCTGAGGATTAGCCGTCGCTTGGCCAAAGCAGCTTTGCGACTTGAGGTGCGAGTTGTGTTCGCTGCACTCCGCGCAGATGAGATTGATATTGCACAGTCCTGCAAGCGACTGCAAGTGTCTTGAGGGTATCCATCATGACCTGAAGCCTTCAAACCCTCAAGTATTTGAAGCCGACCCTTCCGTTCATCTTAAGCTTCCGAAGCCATGCGCGAGCTTGTGCACGTCCAGGGTGGCCAGTGCGGAAATCAGATTGGTGCCAAGTTCTGGGAAGTCATCGCAGATGAACACGGCATTGACCCAACCGGTACGTACCATGGGGACTCCGACCTGCAGCTGGAGCGCATCAACGTGTACTTCAACGAGGCAACAGGTGGCCGCTATGTGCCACGTGCCGTTCTGATGGATTTGGAGCCTGGCACCATGGATAGCGTTCGCGCCGGACCTTTCGGCCAACTGTTCCGCCCGGACAACTTCGTGTTCGGACAAACAGGTGCTGGAAATAATTGGGCAAAGGGCCACTACACCGAAGGCGCTGAGTTGATTGACTCTGTGCTGGATGTGGTCCGAAAAGAAGCTGAGGGTTGTGATTGCTTGCAGGGATTCCAACTTTGCCACTCTCTTGGTGGCGGCACAGGCGCTGGCATGGAAACACTATTGATCTCCAAAGTGCGTGAAGAGTATCCAGATCGCATCATGGAAACATTCTCCGTGATTCCATCTCCAAAGGTGTCCGACACAGTGGTGGAACCATACAATGCAGTCTTGAGCTTTCACCAACTGGTGGAGAACTCTGATGAGTCGTTCTTGTTGGACAACGAAGCTTTGTACGATATTTGTTTCCGCACTTTGAAGCTGACTACCCCGACTTATGGTGACCTGAACCATTTGGTGTCTGCCGCAATGAGCGGTGTGACCTGCTGCTTGCGCTTCCCAGGACAGCTGAACTGTGACTTGCGCAAGATTGCAGTGAACTTGGTGCCGTTCCCACGTCTGCACTTCTTCATGACAGGCTTCGCACCATTGACTTCTCGTGGCTCGCAGCAGTATCGTGCACTGACCGTTCCAGAGTTGACGCAGCAGATGTTTGATGCCAAGAACATGATGTGCGCAGCTGATCCTCGCCATGGCCGCTACTTGACTGCGGCAGCCCTCTTCCGTGGACGTATGTCGACCAAGGAAGTGGACGAACAGATGCTGAACGTTCAGAACAAGAACTCGTCTTACTTTGTTGAGTGGATCCCCAACAACATCAAGGCATCCGTGTGCGATATCCCACCAAAGGGCTTGAAGATGGCTGTTGCCTTTGCAGGCAACTCCACTGCCATTCAAGAGATGTTCAAGAGGGTGGCGGAGTACTTCACTGCCATGTTCCGTCGCAAGGCCTTCTTGCATTGGTACACTGGTGAAGGTATGGATGAGATGGAGTTTACTGAAGCAGAGTCAAACATGAATGATTTGGTCTCTGAGTACCAGCAGTACCAGGATGCTACAGCCGAAGAGGAGGGTGAATTCGACGAGGAAGAGGGAGAATACGATGGATGAGTCAGGACCTAAAGCTGGACTTGGCAAATCCTGACAGGTTTGCCCACTTCTGGGATTGCAGCTACTTGAGCAACCAAAAAAAGGGCTGTCATAGGGTATCTCCATTGTTCATGGATCATGGCCATTGAGGGTCAAAGGGCACAATTCATACACATGCTTTGTTTTGAATTTGGAACAGCTATCGTTTGACACAGGCCTTTGCCTCCTTCCTGCGCGGACAATTGGCTGCTCCGGACCTCAGGTTTTTCAGAGACCTCGGCGAGATCAACGGTCAGTTTCCAACTTTTCCAGGTGAATTCAGGGAGATCTTTTCCAGAAGTGGAGGATGAAGAGGTACAGCTGCCAGGGAGCTTTGAAGAGCACAGATTTTTCGAATTCTCGCATGTCTTCGGCTGGCTTACGGGTGGTTTTTGAGGAGTTTGAGATTCCCAGTTGCTCAAGAAGTGTCTTCCCTGTGCAGATTTACAACAGCCTCTTCGACAGTATCTTGATGCAGTACTACAAGCTAGTGGTCATTGGTCTCAGATCCGGAAGAGTTAATGAAGAGTTCGCACTTGGATGTTTCGCTGATCTCGTGGGCGATCTGAGGTAACCGAACATGATGAACTGGCATATAACGTGATTCCAACCTTGCAGGCCTGGAGATGAGACTCAGAAAAGATCACAACTGTCCCTTGTCCCCAGATTCTGTGGCTGAAGGACTCCATAGTCCAATCTTTTACCCCTGTCAATCAGTGCAAGACTCAGAGCCTCAGAGCCAGTCATAAAATCTTTCACAGCATTCTGCTGCCGCTATGTTTCTGCTGCCGAGGACTTCGGAGATCAATTTGCTGTTTCTGAATGTGGGCCGGGCTCCCGGACTCCCATCGGGCCATGACGGGATTATGATTTTGAACAACGGCACTTGTTGTGAGGTGAATCAGCCAAGCTGGGCTTCACGACACTTTGGAGCATTTTGAGGTGCCCTGTGACGACTTGTGTTGCGAAGCGTTGGAAACACCAAGTAGCTACAGAAAGATGCTTCTTTTCTCCATTTTGTGTTAATCAACCATGGCTTCGGGCCAAGAGTTGCCAAAATCTGTCCCCTTCAGCTGTCGCCTGGCCGGAAGGTTCCGCACTCAAGCCCTTCGGATCTTTGTTCTGGGTGATGCTGCGGGGATTGAGGCACAGGGCCACCAGGGACACCGGGGCCATGGCACACGGCAGCCACGTGCGCCAGCTCTCGCCAGGATTGGAAAGCCAATCTTCGACTGTTGGTGTGGGGCCTACTGTGCTTGTACACTCGCAAGTCTAGTTTGTTGATGGTTGCAGGAGAATTCTGGGAAGATGGAGTATCTCAAAGCATTGCGCTTCGAGTATCTGGACTGCGTTGCTTTTTTTTAGCCTGTCGCGTTTTTTCTGGTCACCTGGTCGGATGAAATCCGCAGGATTTCACACAGCATCGCAACTTCCAGATCTTCATGCGTAGCAGACTGAGCGGCGCCAGGACAGAAATGGGTTCTGAAAATCATCGATAGCCCAAAGTTGGTATTTTGATGGGGAACATGAGAAACGAGTTTTTATGAGTTTTTGGTCTACCCTGTCACAGTCTGAGAGACAAAGCTAAGTGTGTGTTTGAGTTGAGCCTACAACAATCCTTCAAAGACCGGACGAGAGGGTGCTGTGACGCAGCTCTGAATGCATGTCTCCACCCAGCACTTGTCTCACATGCAAAATGGGACTGAAGTACTTCTCGCTTGGAACGGTTGCAAGGTGAATATCCAAGTGATTGTGATGTGAATGAGATAGGCGCGAAGCTCAGTGCACAGACCAGGCCACAGCTGAATGAAGGGTACGGTACTCTACTCTCTGAGGCGAAGCATTGTTGGCTCGTTTTATTTGTCTGCCTGCCATGTGGAAAAATCTCACCAGATTCCCCCAGTCTCCGACAGTGTCCGGCGTGTCCGTGTTCGGTGCCAGGCCATGATTTGCTGCCTCCAGATGTATGAGTCTCAGTGCTGGTTTGAATGTTTCGAATGGCATTCAGTAAATTCACATGGCTGGATGACACCATGTCTACCCTCTGGTAAACTAACATAACAATGGAAAATCACCATTTTCAATGGGAAAATCCACTATAAATGGTGATTTTCAATAGCTATGTTAAATTACCAGAGGGTATTGGTTCAATGAAGTTCCTGACTGCTTCATGTCTACCATGGATGCCATGGATGCCGTGCCCGGCCTGCCCGGCGTGCCCATCTAACCTCTGCCGAGGTTCATCGCGTCATTGCAATGGATCTGGCAGATGCCAGGATCCTGGAAGGTACCCTGAAATTCCATGGCTATAAATATCCATGAAATAGATAAGTATCTTTTTATACATATCCATTGATATCCATTGATCTCTAGAAATATTCATAGATGCCCAGAAATATCCATACATGTCCATAAAATGGGTATCATCACTTTTTTTTATCATTGAAATGGCCATACATATCCATGACTCATGCCATGCTCGTTCCGAGGTGCTGGTCTTGGATGATATCAAGGACTTGCTCGTCCATTCCAGTTCTGTTCTTCAACATGGGGGTTCTCATAGGGGTATCCCTATCCCAAATTAGACACTTTTAGCATTGAACCCAACGGTTTTGGGGTACCATCATTTTAGGAAACCCCCATATACCCCAAATCCTTGGCTGAATCATCAGATTCCCTATGAAAAATGAACATGGCTGCAGCTTGAAAAACAAACCCATCTTCAGACCCATCTTTTGCATCGGTGTGGCAAATAGCTTCTCCACTCAAGCCTGGTGCAGGACCTTTGGGCGCAGTTTGACACTTTCGAAGCGTTTTCTGGACTTGTCTTATGGTTGATCTGTCATGCCTGCGGCCTGCGGCCAAAACTAGGACAGCCACTCATCCACTCAGGAGGGCATTTTTTTTGTCAGCATTAAAGTCAGATGTGGGTATGGGTCAATACCTATAGATACATTTTTAGTGGGATGAACATCCATAAATCCCAGCTATTTTGGGGTTCACCAGGGGTACAAGGTTTTGACCCATCCCCATGTAGCAAAAAAAGATGCAACGACGAGGTTTCCATGGTGTTGTTCCAGCCTGCCAGGCATCATGTCTTTGCGGCAGCACACATCACGGCACGGGGACCCGTTGTGATTCCTGAAAAATCCCATGGGTGTTTGGGTGAGCATCCCAGTTTGCAAGTGCGTAAAAACCCGACTTTTTAGCTTGAAAAAACACCAGTTGGAATCTCAGTTTATTTTTGAAATCCAGTTGCTGCTTTCACTCATATTTTTCTGTTTTTTTTCCATCATATTTTCCAGCAAACTTCAACCAATGTTCAACCATAGTCTAGGATAGAAACCTATCATAGAATTGGATGATGGGAAAATTTACAGGAAAGCCCTATATGATCTATATTTGATGGTAAAAACCAATGGTTTCCTGTAGATTTTCCCAACAAAACCAATCCATAGAAACCTATGGAGATGATGAAGTTCTCCCGAGTTCCGAGGCTTTGAGTCACGTGAATGGCGGCTTGGCGCTCTATGACTTGACCAGGACGCGCTAGCGGAGGGACTTTTTTGAACAGGATTCATGTCTCAATAGAATATATGTATATAAAATCAAAAACAAATTAATATATATATATACATTATAAGATACATAGGATCTACAACTCTAACTCACTGATCCTACAAGAATATGAAGTTTGTTGACATGACGATATGAACCATGTATAAACAGTCGTGGAAGCGACTCCCTCCGTGAGGATGAAGGCCTCAAACTGGACATCAATCGCCTTGAAAGCTGCGCGAGACGGCTTTGAGAGGCACAGAATTGCGGGAGTTTTTTTTTGGTTGCCCAGTACATCCCAAAATGGTCATTTGATGTAACTTCAAAGTTAAAAACAATCATGCTCATTTTTTTTTGTAAGGTGAACAATCCAAAAAGGAAAATGACGATAAAGCATTTAAATCCATGTTATCCATTGGATCGTAGCCCAGGAGGCACGATTGCATTCACGACCAGTCTCTGATGAACACGCCCAGATCTCAGGGGAAAAGTATCAAAAAGTCAGGAGTTTTGGAGATGGGGATGGCTCAAGTTATCTATGAAACACCGTGTTTTGCAGGGATGAGGCCTGATTTACCAGCTATTTTGGTGGGGTCACGAAATTGTGTATCAGGCTTTTGACCCCTTTTCGTCATAGGACTATCGGTGAATGACTATCGAATAGATATCCAGAAGACACATTGAGAGCCTGCCATGCTGGCTAAGGATTCATCTTCACCGTCCGCGCTCCGATGGGTTGCGGCCTCTTCCATTAGTGAACATGGACAGATCTCCATTCGTGGTCTGTAAAGATACCATTGCTGATTGGTTACTATATTTTTAAACCCTACCTAATTGATTGGAGGTTGTGACAACGCAAAATAGGGATACCTATGAACTAACTATGGGAACTGTGGCTAAGTTTGAGTCCAATGAAGACGCTGCCATGTCGATGGATGCTGGCCGGAGCCCAAGCAGTATGTGTACGCACATGTGTAGATGTAGGGTCATCAGTGGTGACCAGATTATAGCTTTTTCTCGGCATTTTCTTGTTTGCCAAACTGCACATTGCTTATTTTGATGGTTCTCCCCATGGATTGCAAATCAACCACAACCAAACAGAAATCCGGTAGAATCGCTTGGCTTTTGTGAAGCTGCAGAAGAACAAGATGCTGACATGATACCTGTCAATGATTCAATTTTTTTGAACACAGCTCAATAAAATGGTGGCGCTGTCCTTTCTGCATCAGCTTATCCAATATGGCTCCAGGATTTGCTGTGAACAGTCCAAAGATCCCTGGAAAAGATTCCTGAATGCATGACTTGTCTTGCCATGAACCGCTTGGAACATGGATCAACCATAAGAAGGCACCAGTTTGCGCAACAACAAAGATATGTGTGACTAGACGTGGACCATGATGCATTTTTCGAGTCTTTCTGACGCGCATAGCAAGATGTTTCTGAGCAAGTGTGTGTGGGTGTCTTCAACGGCCTTACGCAGGAATGCAGTTGTAATTTTTGAATTCTGGCTGGAAGCCTTATGGTGTCTGCTTTCTTGGATGGCACCGGCATGGGGTGAGCACTTAGCTCGGTTGGGATCCAAGCGCAGAATCACTGTATGATGAGTCTCAGAAGGGTTTGTCTGAAACTAGCGCACCCGGAGATTTGATGCTGAATCACCAATATCCCGTAATATCCCTATAGAAAAGTAGTCATTTAAATATTCATAAATTATGGGTTAGCTCCGAGTTAACCTTCCCAATTTCAGATCCTAAAAGCTGAGGCCAACTTGATGCAAGCAGCACCTTTCAGCCCCAGTCGTCACGATGGCGACGGCGTGAATGCAGAGGTACTCCGGCAGCTGGAACTGGACTTGCCCCGAACCGCTGGAACGGATGTGGCACTCCACGGCTGCATTGGGAGGTGCCAATTTGAGGAGTTGTGGATGGTTTCGGCATCTTTTTTTGGGAAGGGGATACACACCAGGAGAGTCAATAGAATTTACTAGACTTGTGAGATGGAAAAAAACTGGGTATTGGTAGGAAAAACATCTTTCAAAACATCTTTTTGGTTAAGTTGACCCAAGGTTCTGAGCCCTTCCAAGCCTTGGCGAAGTTGGAATTCCAACCCCCAGCCAGGGTGCGCACGATGATCTTGCAGCACCTGGAAGACGACCCAGAGCCGGAAGCCCCAGGTCCTCCCAGGTCCTCCCAGGTCCTCCCAGGTCCTCCAAGGTCCCCCAGGTGAAAAAAATCCGACAAAGGTTGGGCTACTGTCAAGGGATGACCTTGGTGGCAGCGGTCTTTGCAGCTGCACACAATGACGCTGAAGTAGAGGTGCAGAAGGATGGGAGACTTTGTGGGCCCCATGTGGAAAAAAAAACATGGGCCTGTCCAAAAATGAGGTATGAAGGGTATACCGTCTACCCCCTCAAAAATAGCAATTTCAATGAAACAGTGAGGATCAACCATGACATTCTTTTGGTACCATATTTCGGACAAGCCCAAATTTTGGATTGAGAAACGAGTCAATAATACTCTTTAACAATGCCATGATTATTTTATACTTATACTATTTGTATGCCAGGGGATCCTATATATATATATATAGGCAACATATTCTCTGTGTGTGGGATGATTTGGAAGCAGAGCCCTTGCCTGGATCTTTTTGTTGAAGATAGTGAGAGCCTGTTGGCTTCAATTTCTGATGATGCGCTCAACACCTGTTAACACAAGTCTGCTGTTGGGATTGAACTGGTACTGCATTGGTTTGGGGAAGAACCATATACAACATTATGCAACTATTATGTTTTGTTTCTTTAAGCATCATAGGGGGCTCCGCAATTTTTGGAAACCAATTCGGGAAAGCTGTTTGGAAAGACGATCCGCAGGCCTATCGCCGCTTCGCTGCCTTTGTTCAGCGCGTGCGTGGCCTTTGGTTGCCCGGATCTTGGAAGGGAAAGGCTGCGGGCAATGGGGAAACCGTGACTCCCAGCGTTTCCTGTCTTGGATGCAGTGACTGCAGATCCCAAGCTTTGGATCACATCTATTGCCACAGTTTTGTTCTGAAACAGTTTGCAGAGTTCGCTTTCTTGAGAAACCAGTTGCTCAAAGTGGGCGCTGCAGTCTCGCTCCAACACTTGTGCCATCATGAGAAGCAAAGCGGTGCTGTTGCCTGCGGCATGCGCTGGGCTTGTGCTCATCTCGCTGAACCTCTCGGCCTTCATGGTGGTGACACCCAGAACTTCTCATGGCACCTTCGCTGGTGCCCAGTTGGAGCAGATGTCGATGCTATCAGCCAAAGAAGGCGCCTCCGGGGCTGTGTCGATGCCATCCCCGGTGACGTCCGCGGCAGAAAGTGAGACATCTGCGACGCAGCGTGCAGCTTTGGTTCCGCCACTGGTGGCCCTGTGGGGCTTTGCCAATGCAGCATTGGCCCGAAAGGCTCGGGGCCGTTCTATCTTTCGGAGGGCAGGAGATGGAGATGAAGAGGAGGGAAGCTTCAAGAAGTTAAGCACCACTTTTTGCAACTTGTTCGCCGTTTGGCTGGCAATTGCAGCTGCAGCAGCATTGAAACATCCAGCGTCCTTCACCTGGGTGAAGTCGGAATACTTCACAGGTTTGCTGGGACTTCTGATGTTCTCAGTTGGTATCACCACAACGATTGATGACTTCAGGGAGTGCCTGAAACGCCCTGGAGCAGTGGCCATCAATTTCATCTCCTGCTATGGCATTATGCCATGTTTGGCCTTCATTTTGGCCAAGCTGATCGGTGCTGAGGGTGCCATCTTGGCCGGTCTGGTGCTGGTGGGCTCCATCAATGGTGGTCAGGCCTCCAATCTCTGCACACTCATTGCTGGTGGTGATGTGGCATTGAGCGTTCCTTGGCAACAAAAACAAAGGTGGGGTAATGGCCTGGTGGGATGGAACTAATGGCCAGTTGGTCCTGAGTTGTTTTTTTTCTACTAAGTGTCCCACTACAAAAATTTTGGGACACCTGGCACCAAATAATCTCAGGCTGTGTGTGGAAGACATTTGTGTTTCATGAATGCCTATGAAGTCCCGGTGCACCAGCAACATCCCAACTCTGGCCCGTGATCAACGGTTGCCCTGTCAGGGTTTCTTTCTGGTCAACAACCAAAACAACATCCAGAAACTCACCAGTGAATTCGCAGCTTCAGGTCTTGATGACCACCTCAACCACCCTTGGATGTATCTTTATGACTCCCCTGATCTGCAAGCTGGTTCTGGGTGCTGTGGTGCCAGTGGATGCGGGAGGGATTGTGGTGTCCACCTTCCAAGTGGTTTTGGCTCCCATCTTTCTGGGAGTTGGCTTCAATACCCTCGCGCCCGGCTTCTGTAAGGCACCGGGCCTCGTGACTTAAGGAGTGACTCCTTCACGTCTTGAGGAAAGATGAAGGATGAAGATGGTAGCAACTGATCTAGCAGATTTCAGTTGTGATATTACGTCGCAAACAATCACTTCACCATCCACCTGACAAAATCTAGAAACGATCTATGGGAGTGACAGTTCAGAAGTGATCCATCCTTCATCCGTTCATCCATCCATCCCCAGTACCCTCTGGTAAACTAACATAGCTATTGAAAATGGCCATTTATAGTGAGTTTTCCCATTAAAAATGGTGATTTTCCATAGTTATGTTAAATTACCAGAGGGTAGACCCGCTAGGCCGTGACGCCCTTCACTCCAGTGGTGGGAGTGGTCTCCACTGTGCTCCTGGTGGGTGCGTCCGTGGCAAAGTGTGCGGCGCCCATCAAGGGTGCAGGGATTCCCCTGCAGCTGGCCTGTTGCGCCCTGCACCTCTTTGGAGGCGGAAATCTCTGGAAATCTCTGGAATGATGGGATGGCCAGGATGGCCAGGATGGACAAAACATGATGAAAGATCTGGTAGAAACTCTGAAACCTAAGCAATTTTTGGTCATATTTGGTTAGGAGGGAGCGCTTCGGAGCCAAGGAGCTATCCATCTTCACCCATTTCTAAAAAAGGGGAACCAAGGAGCTAGGAGAAGTTGTCCAACCACCTGATGGGTCCTGATAAATATAGGATATGGGATGGGGCAATGTAACACGCAGAACATTTTACCTGCATGGGGTAATATAGAGACATTGTCCCAGCGGAAGATGAAGAATCAAGCTGCTTGAAAACACAACCACTACTGGCAATTTGTTTCCAGTTCTAAATTTCTCCTCAACCTTTGTCACCAACTATGCCAACCTCCGCTTTGATTAAGCTGCGCAACAGGTTTGCTGGGCTTCTTCGCCACAAAAGCAGCAGGATTCAACGAGCGAACGTGCCGCACTGTAGCAATCGAAACAGCTATGAAGCTCAGCAAAGGTTGGTTCGAAGGATTGAATGGGGTGAAATGCCATTGTTCGATGTTTGGAAATGGATGATATGGGGGAGTTCCCAGACCATGATGCAATCCATGTCTATTTGAGCCATCAAGGCAATCAGTCTATGAGTCTATGGAGTCAGTGGATGTTGAGAACAGTTTGCTCAGTTGCTTCATGGATGTGTCCTTGACTACGAGAAAATATCAAAGATCCATGACAAGAAGGATTACATTCTGGAATTTTCACATCACCATTGTTAAAATCACCATTTTCCAACAGCTAAAGCTCAGGAAATCCAGCGCTTTTGGCTTCCTCCTGGCCTCCTTGCACTTTGGCGTTTGTTCCTCAGTGGGGCCGAATGGGGCAGCATGGCAAGTGGTGCCGTGACCTGTCTTGGTGTCATCTAACCCTGATATATAATATAATATATAATTATATAGATAAAATACCTCCCTATGAAACCATGATTCAGTACTGGTTCTACTCATTTTGGCGGAACCTTTTTGGGAGTATTGAATATTTGGATGGGATATGATGATTTGATGGGATCATTAGGCCTTCAACGTTTCTTTTGGACCTTGAGGCCTTCAACGTCCGCGTTCCATCCGCAGTCAGCGTGGTCTGGATGGCCATCGTCGGAAGTGTGCTGGCCGTGTACTGGAAGAGCAAGCCAGCAGCCGACGCGTAACGCTTTTTAGGCGCCAGCAGATTCACCCATGGGGTGGGGTCAGAAATGGGGCGTGAATGTGGGATCCACAATGGTATATACACATACACATACACATATACATATACATATACATGTACATGTACATATACATATATGTGTGTACTATATTATATATATATACATATATATATAATATAGTACACACACATATATATATATACAGTATCTATATACAATGTACCCCCCAAGTATCAACCATTTAAGGGGTAAATCAGCCATTGGGGGTATACTTACAGAAGAATAAACCACCAATTGGGGATGGTTTATTGCGGATCCCCCATTGATTTGTGCCCTATTTCTGGACACACCCTAACAGTATCAATATTCAGATGCACACTGGACGGATCAATACAGGCACAGGGAAAGGAGTCGTGTACACAAGAATACATTTTAGTTTTATATGCTTTCACCTTTCACCATCTTTCACCAGCAACCTGTCATGTCAGGAGGTGAGTGGCCACATGCAGCGGAGCTGCAAGTTCGCAAGCGGCCGGGAAGAAATTGTTTGTTTCTTAGATCAGCACACAGAGCTGTAGGTGTTGACTGACAGTGTGACCCATGATTAGAGCAGTAATCCGCTGCTATTGTTCTTCTGAGTCATGTACTGGCGGATGTTTTAACAAGGGATTCATCACGATGCGACGATGATTTGTGTCCTTGAAACTCTTGAAGGCTTGACACTGAGAAGTGAAAGCTGCGGTGAATGATCTCTAGCTCGGAAGGTCAGAGGCGAATTCACCAGGCATGGGGCCTTCGGTATGGAAGCCCTGTTGAAATTACAACAGAAGTGAAGTCGCTGAAGTCTAGATTGATTGTTGAGTTCTTTGGATGGACAGTACTGGTATCAGTGACATTTCAAAGCCGACTTTGGCTGCGACCCTTTGTTTGGTGACATGATTGGTTTCCACAAGCTCGCCCCTGGCATGTGACTGTGTGCCAATACAATTTGAACCGGTGCACGTCAAGTCACAGTTTCTGGCTCCCCAGTCGCAGACTCCTTCCCCACAGCAGCATTTGAGGACACTTTCTCTTTGTCTGAGATGCTTCGAAATTGTAACATGTTTTTAATTTTTCATCAAGAACTCATCAATTTCAAGAGTTTGCCTTATTTCAAAGCCGGCCACACAAAGAAGTCGCTCCGGCATAGCAGCATGAAACGGTATGGACCTAGTATTTAATGAATCCAATATATTCCAATATAACGAATGTCCCAGTTGATTGATTGCCCGTAAGAACATGAAATAGCAGATCATTTTAACACGTCAGACATATGAAGTGGCGGCACGCATGCAAATTTATGTACATTGTGATGTAGAACAGTCCCCGAGAAAAAAATACAATTAAGAAAAGCAAATCAGTTCCCAGAAGAACATAACTAGAATTTCATTTGCAATCCAACTTTGGGGTTTGGAATTTATTGAGCTCCACCAAATGAGCTGAAAGGCATTCTCTAGTCTCAAGAAATGGAGTCCACGTAAATGCATGTTTCCTTCAATGGCATATTGTTTGGAGGGAAAATAGCTTCATATCTCCTTGCTGGGGAATGAAGAACTCGACTGGGTGGAGCATCGACTCATTGCTTAGAAGCTCAACAAGCTTTCAGCAAATCAATTCCTGAAAATGTGTGGACGGAAGAGCAAAATCAAAAGTGGCGGCCAGACTTTTGCACTGATTCTGTGAATTGGAAGGCTTTAAGGATCATTGAAATTCAGGGTGACAGAATATTGACAGAATGACAATCTGAGAATCGATTGAATTGCTGTATGTACTTACTCTGAAGCGTTGAGAGTGCAGTCAATGGACGGTCAGTGGAAAACAAGACGAGTGGATCAGGGCTCACGGGAAGAATAGGTGTCGTGCACAACACATCATTCACATCCATGCAAAGTATCAGGGTTTTTTTTTGGTCAACATCTGCTTTGAAGTGGGGAAAGAAACAAAAGAGATGATCCCGAAATTCGGCCTGGCATCTTAGTCATATATGTATATATATATATACACAATGTGGGCCCCTCCAGTTATAAGTTGGTTTATAAACCCCATTAACTATAGTTATAAGTACCATAAACCATAGTTATTGAAGTTATAAACCAAGTTAGCTATCTAGGGGGCCAGGGGGCCCCACCTTGTATATATAGTTGGGTACCCCAAAATCCAATGGTTGAGTGTTCTATGGTACCATTACCCCCATTTTTTTCGGAGGTGACCGCGGTGACCTCGGTGACCTCAGGCCTGGCTTTCCACTCCTGCAGCCCAGCATTGCCTCCTTCGAGGAACGGCTACAAAAAACACTTGGGAAAAGATGTTTTGAACACACTGGTGATTGGGACCATTTTGCAAACAATATGTCATATATACGTATATATTTTTTCTGTATACACATATATATATATATATGGTGGACCAGTGGACCATGGTGGACCTCCAAAATGGTGATGTCATCTGGTTGGTGGTTTGGATCATTTTTTATATTTTCCATAATATATGGGATGTCATCCTTCCAATTGACTTTCATATTTTTCAGAGGGGTTGAAACCACCAACCAGTCATATATGTGGGTAAAATATAACGACCTCACTGTTCTCCCTCACTGGAATCATGGTTAGTAAGGGAAATCATCCCCTTTTATGGCCGAACTATTCAGGTTAGTGAATTGTTATAATTTACCCAGATATATGTTCAATGATGTTTAAGCCTTTTTCACAATGTCTGGGTGATGTTGACATCCTGCAGGCGCTGGCCAAGGGGAGGCCTTGGTTCATGCACCTGGTGAGGTGCACCGAGGGATGCGGTGGCAAAAAGCAGATGCGACATAGATGGGAAAGAGAAAATGGGGTCTGTGTATTCTACTAAAGTCCAAAAAAACCATTTAAAACAGATGGGGAAATTTGATGATGATCATCTTGCGATAAACTATATATATATAGACTTTATATATGAATATATATGACTTTATTATCGTACTAGTAAGAATGGCAATCTTGAGGTCTAACTGTTTTTGCCTGTTTCACACCATTTTGTGCGTCTAATTTTTCAGACCCCAGATGTCTCCAGGTATGGTGTACAAACCGAGATGTTTTTACCTCAGGCGCGAGGACTGTTCAGTCTCGACGAGTGCTTTGGGATGAAATGAGAGCAGAACCAATTTACCAAGTATCAGAGGGACCAACAAATGCATTCCCAACAAGGCTGCGATTGACTTTTTTGTGGACATGCTTCTTTCATGTTTTTCTTGCGGAAGACTCGCTTTGACCCTTTGGTAATCAAGCGATCTGTAAAGGTTCGTGATGGGAAATAATGTATATATACGTACATATGTATATTTACCTGTATATGGATCATTGTCCCAGTGAGAATCAGGACCTTACTTTTGCATGTTTGATGAACCGACGGTGTAAATCCCAACTCTAGCAAACGCACCTAATATTTGATTCCCTTGATCTCAGTTTTGAATCTTTGAATTTCCCATATTTTCAGAAGGTTAAGTCAGTTTTTTGTAATAATCCACATGTTTGATGCTTTAAGTCTACAAAGTCCCAAACTGGTCAGGCCTTACTCTCGATGCTGGTCACCTGGCTCCCCTTGAGAAGCCTTCTGACAGGGCCTGAGAGCAATCGGACCGGCTGCCAGGGTGTGTGAAACAAATGGGCGAAAGAAATGGTGACAAAACATGATTATAATGGGTGTACTGGGGTATATATGTATATATATATATATCCAACAATGAATTTGATTTTGGGGTCTGAAAATCTGGTGCAACCCCAAATGCTGGCTGTTTTATATGGGGAAAATAATGATGAACGATTGGGTGCACTATGTTCAGACACGCCCATATTTCACAACCCTGAAACAGCTTCAGAAAAGTCAAATCCGATTCAAAATAGTGATGATCATTTACATTTTTCCCGTCTTTTTTGGGTTGCTATAACAACAGATATATTATATCCACAATAGAAGTAGATATGAAAAGCAACACTCTATGTTATGCTGTACTGTATTGACTACTTTCAATTTGGCTCAAGTTTCCGATCGTCAAAAATCGCTACCACCATACCATGGAACCATGGCGGCATGCTGTCCCTGCTGAGGCACTGCTTGCAGTTTCTTGAGTGCGGTCTAAAGTCCCTGCTGTCTTTGCAGCGGCCTCAGTTGGGGATGGTAATATAGGGGGATTCACTTATTTGGTTTATTTGGGATGATTTTATGTCATGCAACATATTTTAAGCCATAAAACGGGGGTATAGCATGGTATAGCTACTATAGCTACTTTAAGCAGCAAATGTGCACTGGAATGGGATGGCGGGCTCTACCCAGATGTGGAACTGTTGGATAGCTTCCAAAGTCACTGGAGAGATAGGCTTCAACTTAGTTGAGCAGTGACCAAGTCAATGTTGATCAGGGATTTCGTCAATGGGGGTTATTTTTCGATACCTGGTTTATCGGGGATGAAAAACGCCATGGGAATCCATATCAATCAACCAGTCATGTTTTTCGGGATGACATGTTGGGTGAAGCCGTTAACACACCCATCATCCATGATATTAGCGTGCTTTTCCCTCCTGGTCCCTCCCGGTCCCTCCCGGCTGATTTTATTCATCTATCTATCCATCTATCCATGATATAGGGAAGGTGCATAGCCCAATCTTTCTAGTTAGGTTAAATGTGTATCCGCATATTCTCGAAGTGGGACAATATAAATGCTACATAATATGGGGATCTAACCCACCATCTATTATATATATATAACATCATATACATATAGAGATAGATACATATACGTATATATGTATATATATATATGTATATGTATATATATATATAAATGTATATACGTATATATATATATATGTATATATATATATGTATATATATATATGTCATTGTATATGATCATTATCCCTAATATTATAATGGGATACAATGGGATAACACTGTGGCTCTGACAAAACCGCCAGGGCGGTGGCACTTCTGGACTCGCAGGAGAGCCAGTTGCTTCAGCAGCAAAGCTTCGAGGAGCGCCAGGAAAGTCAAAAAACCCCATGGGGTACCCTCTGGTAATTTAACATAGCTATGGAAAATCACTATGTTTTATGGGAAAATCCACTATAAATGGCCATTTTCAATAGCTATGTTAAATTACCAGAGGGTATTAAAAAAAACACCATTGAATATGGGGCATTTCTATGGTACATTGATCTTCAATGGGATATACATATCAATATTTCTATGGTATCAAAAACTATCAGAATATTGATGGGATTATACAACTATCTAGATATATCATCTAAAAAAACCACTTCTATATATAAGTATCTAGATGGATTATATCACGATAGAAGCTATTATCTGTATTATCCATATAGTTCTAGTTGGTACTTTCAATTTTTGAAAGTGTTCAATCCTACCTGATATGATTTGATATGATAATTCGAGGCGTTCGAAACCACGAAATAGAATACAGTTCAACACAACGAGGACCACACTTCAATCCCAGCGATCCTTCAGCCTCCGCCACGATGTTTTCAGGAGCTAATGGATACGATACAAGGTGCCGGTGTCCAATTTTTTGAGATGAGAAATACTGATCATATCTGATCATGACAAACATCATTTTTTGATAGAAGCAGTTGTTTTTTGGTAACCAATGCATGATGATTCCGGGGATGCCATGAATATCAACTGTTTCAGACATTCGTCAAGAGTCAAGAGTTTTTGTTCATGCATGGCATGCACTGTTTACCTTTTTTTTATATAATGCTGCTAAGCTCAGGGGCTTAAAATGAAGATTCGAGATACTGTAGATGACAGCCACTCTTTGATTTTTACCGATCTAGTCAAGGAGTTGTTGGGTCAGAGACCAAGTGTCTACAATCTTCAGAGAAGCGGAACTGATATTGTGCAGGCCTAAAAAACTGCAAAGTGTGCCCCAACCGCTTGCTGGAGACTGCCGAAGCACAAGCAAAGGCAGGATGTGCTATGTACACTTCTAGTGTAAATATACAGTGTAAGTGTAAATATATTAATCTACGGATTGAGACCTATGACAGTGGAAACCACTCTACCAACAAAATGTTTTTTGGCTTCTGCTTCATGGCAGGCGGTGGATTTAGCATCCTTTCCTGAGAGCGCCAGTGTGGCGAATTTCAGAAGGCCTGGCAAGTGCTATCCTGTGATACCTCGGGGGATTTTTGTGGGAAGTATGATCACGAAGCAGTGGATAGTGGATTTAGGATGATCTTTCAACACATCTAGCGAAAATGAACGTGAAACTATCGATTTCGCCTAAGTGGCCCGAGGTCTGGTCGACTTCATCGCAAAGGGTCCAAGGTGGTAGACGAGGAGGGCATTGAGATTTTGGCTGCACCTACTGGTGGTCTTCCAAACAACTTGGAATGGCTACTTGGATTGGTGGAAGAAGTTGGGAAGACTTAAAGCTCCAAGAAATGGGGAGGATTTTTACGACCCATTCATGGTTATAATACCCATTTAATATATTTAATCCCATTTATGATCATATTAGGGATCGTTTATTATCGGGCATACAAAATTAGATTGGAAGAGAAAAGGCCATGTGAGTTAGTCTCCAACTTGCACATTCGGCTTCCGCGCATATTTTGCGACTTTCATGTCATTTTGCGACAAGCATTACTGCTTCACTTCTTGCGCTGGTCATTTTTTCCGAAGGTCAATGGCACTGCAGTGGGAAAACATCCATGTGGACTGTTGACATCACTCTGAGGCTTGCCCAGCAAAAAGAGGACTCCGCTTCTGACTGGTGGCAGGCCATGAAACGCAGCTCTTTTTACAGAGGATGCTGCCAATGTTGAAGAACATTTCCCAAGAGATTTCTGCACAGCTGCCTGCAGGGTTCATCCCCCATCAATGCCATCGGCTCGCTTTTCCACTGGATCTTCCCGGACTGTGAGGTGCTTCTGTTGCTTTCCGTTTTTCAACCCTAGTTAAGCCTGCGAAGCTCTTTGTTCAACTGATTGAAATCCCGATTTGGGCAAACATTTGAGGAGCTTTACAGTTTTGCTTGTCTCAGTTAAACTAAACCACTTTAAACATCATCAAACATCATCAACCGTCATTTTTTTCCGTTTCAAACCTCATTACATTCCAGCTGTTTGCAGTGGGCTTGGTGTTGCTGCTTGACTCATGGACTTCGAGCCAGGCCCCAGGGAAAGAAGTAGCTGAAACAGCTGAGTCTGGGAAAGAAAGCACCTCCCACAGCATGTGAGGTGACCGAATTTGGGGTTGCTCCTTTTGGGCCACACTGGGAATTGACCAGCTAAATACTGTATATGGTTCATAGGGTTTCATTCGGTTTCATAGGGTTTTAATATGTCTTAATATAGGACCGGACATATAATCATATAATCATCTTATATATGTTGAGAAATATTTCTGCGACACTTTCGGCCATGTCCCACCATTTTTGGACCTGCCCCAGCCCCTGAGAGATACCAAGCTGCGTGTTTCTTCTCCAATGCAGTGAGCTCCAAAAGCTCCTGTTCAAGGATTTTTGGACACCAAGTTTTTATGCTTGGTCAACATTTCTGCAGGCACGTGAATTCAGAAATGTTGAAGTGCTTCGTGCAGGCTATCCGGGAATTTGAGTGAAAACAACAGCCTTGTTTTGAAAGCTTTTCTAAAAAAGTCAAAGACACTCAAGTCTCCCTACCAGCTGTACATCCTCTCATTGGTTTCGCGCCGAGGGCCAACGACTTCCCAGAGCTTTCAAAAAGCTCTTCAGTGGAATGCTTTTGCCGCAAAAACGGCTTGTTTGCAAATGCAACGAGTCTGATGCAGATAGGGCCGAGCCATGCTGGCCTTGGGGCCTACATGGTCTGTCTCCAAGTTCATTGCAGAGCTTAGTGCATTAGCTGGAGTCCGCCACCAGCTCCTACTCATCAGCTGTTGTGATCCTATCTGCAGTCGGCCGTCCCTGCATGTGGTACGTGGTACCTCATCTTTCCGTTGCACAACGCAAGAAAAAGCATTGCGGGTCTACACTGTTTACACCATACCAGTATCGGCAAGATGACATAGAGCCTCCACAAGCTTGGCAGGGTCTTGATTTTGAGCTGTCAACAGAAGCCACCAGAGCCTGCTTGCAAGGTTCCAGCTACCGACTGGCAGATGTTTTGGAATAGTCCTGAGATGGTTCTGCCAGAGGTTGGGGTGGTTTGGGCTGACAAGCCATGCTGTGTGGCGGAAAATTGCTCAGTTGGGGTTGTGTCGAACAATCACTTTCCCAATTGCTAAATCCATTTATTCCCAATTGCCTTGGCACTCCATGGAAAGGTCCGTGAACGTTGCGGAGACCCAGCTGCGGGCGAAGCTCCCACAAGGCTATAGAATCAGAAACTGGACTGGCTTTCTTTTGCAAGCCACAACCGCGGGATCACACAAAAGGAAAAATAGTAAGAGGACCTGTTGCCCTATGGGTGTGGCATTGCCTTCTTTAGCCACTTTGGCTGAGACGCATGATTCTGGAGGTTCGACTCCTCCCAGGTCCGCTCTCTTCTTTTGCCGTATCTCTGCAGTGAGTTGAGGTCGGAGGTATCCTGGACTTGTGAGTGCCAGCCACTTCGAGGTGTGCCGCCGGATACGGTGTTCCAGGAAGGAACAGGTATCAATATGCATCAATAACTTTCTGATACCCCAAAGGTTTGAGAACCCCAACATTTTTTGGCATCACCTGCAGAAATGCGGAGGTCTACTGTCCCGATCCTCTTGACCTGTTGAGCGTCATTTGGCTGCAGTGCTGGAGGTGATTGATTCTTTGGATCGGGAATGGCTGAGGAAATAGTGCGAACGTGTGCACTTTTTTGAAGAACTTGCTTCTACATGCTTCGCGTGGCAAGGGGAGGGGGATGTTGTGACGTTTTCTGGGCACCCTTTTTACAGATGGGAGAAAGGCCAAGATTGTAAGGTTTGAGAGGTCAACTCAAGTTTGGGAAATTTTGAGAATGCTGCCGAGGGTTGGACCTTCCTGCTGTCCACGAGTGATACCAAGAGACGTTTGCGCACCATGTCGCTCTTGAAGGCAGAAGTCAGACACGAATTGGATTTTCAACAGCGATCAAAATACCCTCTGGTTGTGACTAACAGTTTGCCATGGTATAGATGGCCCATAGAAATAGATGGTTTACCGTTCTTAAAAATGGTAATTTTCCATGGCTATATTAAATAACCAGGTATATCAAAATGATTCAAAATGATATGGCCAGGGGTGGGACTTGTGCTGAGCATGCGGTGTTGACCAGGGGAGTCGACCCGATGTTTTTCAGAAGTCTCCTCTCGACGACAGGGGAATCAGCCACTGACGCAATGCTCGCGAGACGTCTGACTGGCATGTTTGGAGGATCATCCCACTTACATCAGGTGGTTAACAACTATAGTTATATCATTGGATTGGTTTAAGGGAAAGTTTACAGGAAAGCCCCATATCTAATGGTAAGAACCATGGTTTCCGTAGATTTTCCCTTAAACCAATCCAATGATTATAGCATGTTATATAGGCTGTTTATAAACCGGATAACTCCCAGGAATCGGGGACTTACAGTACGATCACCACCAGTTTCATTGGCAGATGGGTCTGCTTCAAGGACAGTCTTGGAATATTTCATCGCAGGTTCGGTGTCGCCAATTTCTGCCATGTGGAACCAAGCCACCAAAACTGGAGGTTGGCTTGACCAAAACCCCACCAAAGCTGGATGATGATTTCAAGGGTCCATGGATCCATGGCAGGGAACAGCTGGCTTTGTGCACCCACGAGATGTGTCATGTGCTCAAAATCGATAGCTTGACAGTTGGAGAAGAAACTTGGCGTAATCATGCGAAACCTGTCCTCGCACCTCCCTGAATTTCCAAAAGTCTCAGAAATTGTGGGAGTTGCAGGATGCAAACGACCATTTCCTCGATCAGGCATTCGTTTACCCATCCTTGAATCTCATCCTCTTGGTGTCTGTCATTTTGCTGAGAAGTTGTTCTGGGATGCTCAGCCCGCAACCCAGGCCCCGTTCGAGATGCTGCGAGTGTGGTGAGAAGGTCTCTTTGGCCCGACTCTCAGGGCTGTGGCCACCTAAGCTCAGAGTCCCAAAAACAAGTTGGAATGAGCTGGATGAACAGAAGATCAGAAGGACAAGAAGAATTTCCTTTTGTGTATCCATCTTTACGTTTCAACTAACCATTGAGTTGTTTCATATTCTAGAAACCAACATTCGCGGGTACCTTTGCGAGGGTTGGGGGGCTCTACTCAGACCTGTTGAGTTTGACTGATGGGTTCTTTGGCCACCCATGAGCCATTTGTTCAAAGCCGATTCCGCTTGTACTGCTTAATGGTAAACCCAATAGACCATCCCCAACTTTACCAGATAGGTGGTATAAGCCATCCCAGGTGATCCCTTAAATTTGGATGTTTCTTTACCGCTAAGGACATTTTCATACATTTCGACCGACCCTTCTGAAACTCGCCCAAATTGTTGGTCCTTAAGGTGCACATTCCGGGCGACATGAAGCAGTGGGCCTTCGTTGACATCCTCTTCCGCTACCATTCGCCCTTTACTGATTGGCAAGAGAAAGAGTTGCGACCTCGGACCGCGATCGATCCAGTGACATCACATCGGTGACATCAACGGCAATGCATGGGATTCGCTTAATGATTAAACGTGCGATTGGTTTTATCATCTTGATATCCCATATTGATAAAGTTAACACTTGATCAATTTCATGGGTAGGAACGGTCACTAAACTCAACGATACACGAGGGAAGATTTGCTGCGAAGTCAGGTTGCAAACTTCACTGACCAGAAAGCTCTGGCAGAAGGACAAAGTGAAATCTGTCATCTTCTCTACTATGGGGAAGCAATAGTGCTCACAATTACTAGTGCTACTATGGTAATTACCAATCGAAATCTGTTCTACTATGGTAATTACTAGTGCTCACAATGTTAAACACACGTCCCTGATGGAAGCTGCGATGTTCAAATTAGCCCAAGACGATCTAAGAAGCGTATTAAGAATACTAACAATTGAGTTGATCTCAGATTTAAAATCGGGGATGCCTCAAAATTTTTGGAAATGATGACAAAATGATCAACATGTGGGACTTGGGAGTTCGAAATTTGCAGCCCACCTTAAAGTACTGTAAGATGATTCTCATGAAACTGGCCCATGTGGTTGAGAAAAGTTCTCCCAAATACCGACGCAGGGTCCATCATCCCCTATATGGAGGTTTCCTAAAATGGGGATACCCCCATATCCACAATAAGACCATTTTAGTATTGAAACCCTTGGTGACTTGAGGATCACCCACGACTTAAGAACCCCCCAAAATTGAACCAATCAATAGGGGGTATGTTTAATGGCTTACACAAAGACATCCAACGTCTTGGCCCCAGGAGACGCGTTTTGCGGAGCAGAGTCGCGCAATACAGGAGGCCAAGGAATTGAGACAACCTCTGGTTTTTTGTAAAAAATATAGGGGGTTAGACTCTAAACCATCCAATAATTAGGGAGTTTCCAGTTGAATTGGGGATGATCATTGTCCAGGACATGTTGGAAAATCCCCAATTAAAAAAAAAACCATCTGGTTATGACTAACAGTTTGCCATGGAAAGATCCACCATTTTTAAGAACGGTCAACCATCTATTTCGATTAGGGCCATCAACAAACCATGGCTATGATGGCAAACTGTTAGTCATAACCAGAGGGTAATTATTTCAATACTATCCCATTCATCCATGCTGGGAATCCCGTTCGTGACACGACTCATCTGTGACAGTCCGCTGGGAAAATGGCCGAGCTTTACGGTGGTGAAGTGCCGGACTCAGCTGGTGACGACTCCCATCGACTCCATCGATGTGAGGTCCAAAACGAGGGTTTCCCCAAAATTCAGGGTTGATCATTAGTCGTTTAATGTTTAATCCATGGAATTAAACATGAAACCATGATCATCAGCTGGTTGATCATTAGTTGATCATGGTTTCATATTTAATCCATTGAACTCATGGAACTGTCTTTTTTGTTCCCCAAAAAAATTGGGACGAAGCCACGCCGGCAAGGACGCCCACGTCACGGGAAGGAAATCGAGTGTGTTGCAGCACCACACAGCAGCTCTGTCAACGCTCCCTTGCATCACCATTAAGACGAATCTAGTTTGACCATAATTTCAATGTGTACTCCTCTTTTGCGCACAGATGCACAAGTGTCGAATCTCGTCCAGAAATGATTTGGATCAAAACCTTCATACGATATTTTAAAACATATATATGTATATAATTATATATAATATATATATATATAATATATATAATATATATATAATATATATAATATATATATAATTATATAATATATATATAATTATATATATTAAATATATATATATAATTATATATAATATATATATATATATTTGGATATATTTGGTGGGATGATCTCTGCGATTTCCTGGCCGAGATTTGTTTCAAGCGTGACGAGAAGCGCTGCTGCACGGCCCACAACTCGCTGTGTGATGCTCAGTCCTATCTGTTGGTTGGGGTCCACCATTGAGCGGCGCCATGACGATCATCATTTTCCAGGCGCAAGGAGCCGAAGGTGTTGTACAAGTGCGGGCCTCAAGGACCAGTTGCACCCGGTTTTTTCATGTTTTTTCCCCCTGAGATCCACCGAGGACGTTGAATATGAAACCCTTGCCGCCACCGTTTCGTTTGGAGGCCTACAACTTGCGCCGAACTGGGGAGTTGCAAAAAGCGCCAAGATTCGCTACATTTTTTCATCTGTTTTCCCATGCTGCATGTCATTCGGCTGTGAATGGCCGAGTGCAGCGCAAACGACGGCCAGGTTGACTCGACAGCTGTTGCAGATGGCCACTTGTTGATCGGCGCTGGTCCTTGGAATTCTGCAGAGGTGAGACTCAGAGTTGAAGACCCTGTGTTCCAGGAGGGGTACATTTCATCGTTTGAATGTCAAATGTTGAACATGTAGAACTCTGGAAATCAAGAAGACCACATCATCTCGCAAAAGCAGGCATCATGTACAATACAGTGTTTCTTTTTTTTTCTTGGCCTCCTGTTCTTCGTTGCAGAATGTAAAATGCCGTCTCAACCGCTGCACAGATAGTGTTTGGCGCCAACGGGGGGACCTTTTCGGCCATCCGGCCTGGCGGCTCAGCGACCGACAGAACTCATGGCACTGCAATGGGTCAACGGGTATGGGTCAATACCTATAGATACATTTTTAGTGGGATGAACATCCATTTACCAGCTATTTTGGGGTTCACTAGGTACCAGGGTTTTGACCCATCCCCAAAACAATGTTGGTCTACTTAGTCTACTTTCGATGACAGGTGGCTCTCGGAGGGAAGTTATACTTCCCTGACGGCTTTTGATGGGTCTCCTCAAAAGGACCGCCCAATGCTTCAGACCGGGCTGAAAATGGTGGTATCATGTGGTATCCTGGTAAGCCCAGCATCTAATAGCTGCTATTTGACTACCTGAAACCAATGGTTTGAGGATTTTTCTAAGGGTCATCATGGTTTGGGACAGACCCAAATGGTGCTCGGCAGGATGCAAGTCCTTCAAAGACGTGGAAGGTGCAGGTGGAATTGGAGGAGGAGTGGAGCGCCATGTTGTTATGGTACAAGAACGTGTAATGTGGCACAAACACATTCCAAAGCTAGATGAACTTCCACAACATCTCGGATGTATACAAGTAGCTCAAGAACCAGGTTTAGGCCAAGTTTTTGCGGTGATGTATTTACATGAGTTGAAACAGTTGAAGACCATTGAAGACCTAGAAATTACAGCAAGCCACAGGATGGCAGACTTGGAGTTCGGCATGGCTTGGCTGAATGGGGATTTTATGTGCCAGACAACTTCCTGGAGATTTTGAGGCATGGCTCGGGTATTTATTTTGGGAAGGAGTGCTTTTCCTTTTTCACTAATGATTGATCATGCTTTGCGTGGAAGAGTTTTAAAGAAGCTGAGGACACAAGGGATCTAACAAGTCTGCGATTCCTGAGATGTCGTGCAGGCAATCTCCAGTGCAGATTTATGTCTTGATCTGAGCCTCCAGTTGAGTGCTATCCGTGTGGCGCCGTGTCCTATCACTGTGAGGTTGGAGTGCCAGGTGATCTGGATGCTACATGGACAGTGTGCCGCGAAGACTTGTCGAAACAAAAGAAACCGTGCCTCTCAGGGGTTTTGATCGGGGCAGCACATGAGAGGAGGTCTGGTTTGGACCAGCCAGTCTGGCATTGCAAAGACAAACCAACACACTTTGGATTGAGGCTCAAGCAGAGCTGCTTGCTGAACTTCTGCTACCTGAAAGGAACCATTTGCATCATTTGTGTATCTCAAAGCCACACCAGACCATCCAGGTTCATTTGATAGGCTGCATGGCACGTTTGAAGTCGTAACTACAGATTGCGATGTAGCCAACAGGTTGCAGCAGCCAAGTCTTCACGTCAGTGGCAACTGTTTCCCCAAAGCTGGGAGACAGGTGACGCCGCCATCAGTACATCAGTCCCCATGTCGTTGTTGCCGCAGTTGCCTGATGCCATGGTGGGAATTGTTTCGGCCCTGTCGTTGACCGAGAACTTTGCGGTCCGCGCCAGCTGCAGAGGTGTCGAAACCTCGATCTCTGAGGGTTTTCTGAGGCTTCAGAGGCTGGAAATCCAACGGCCAGTGGTTCATAGCCTGGCCACTCCACCGCCAAAGTGCCTGGGTGGACTTCAACATTTGATTTTGAAGCAAGGAATCTCCTTAGTGAAGAATGGCCAGCTGCCAGATCTGGCCCAGGAACTCGCAGCTGCCGCCCATTTTGCGGTTCAACTCCCAAGGCTTCGCAGAGTGGATCTCAGTCGATATGACTGTAGCTTGCTCTTCAGAAATCAGAAAGCAGGAGATCGAGAAGTACCAGTGTTGCGGCATTGTTTCCTATCCAACACCGAAGACGACGATTTGGACCGAACTGGATCTTCGACCAACAAGACCTTTGAAATTTGCTTAAAGGAGGCAACACTTTGGTCTCAGTTCCTGAAAGCAGCTGAAGGGAGCCGTTGCGGGGATGCCGTCAGAGGTGAAGATTGGCCCATCTCCGTCACTCAGGTGCGTCACAGCGCCTGTGCTGTGGCAGGTTCTGCACAGCGCTTTGTGGCACACAGCCTCTGTAGCGCGCAGGGAACCGACGATTTGATCTCTGATTTGAAGTTGCTGAAGAACTTGGACGACTTGCATGTGGTGGGGTGCTAATGTCGTGCAATGTGAAAGACGGAAATCATCATGAAGCATCTCACAAAGTGAACAGTGAACGATGTGTCCTCAGACGATCCAAGAGCCATGAGGTTTGGTGGCCTGAGACTCCTGGTTCAACATCATCGCGGGAACCAAGCTGGGCAAAGCGTGTCAGCTTCTCAGATACCCCTGCGTTTGTGATATTATATAGTGATATCATATATCAGTGTATATAGTATTACATAGTTGATCATAGTTTTATATGATATATACTAGATAATTATATAATAACTATATATATATAGTATACATACATAGATACAGACATACACATAGACACATAGATATTAGAATCTATGAGTACAATTTAGTATATCATAGTAGTATATCAGTATATCCTTATAAGTTGTATCAAGAGTCCAACATCTCGCTCCAAGGTCCTTCAGGCCTTTCCAACTCTCCGGCGCTTTGACGAGACCTTCACCAAGGGGGCACTGGCGGCAGTGGTGCGACCGGCGGCGGCAGCCTTGTCTCAATGGGTGGGTTGTCCTATACCATAAGATATGGTAATTCTAATGGGAAAACGATGATGGAAATATGATTCTAATAGGAAAATTAAAATGACTATGGAACACTTATTAGAAATCATTTTAGTCCAATTTTGAGACATACCCTGCTGTTCACATCTATTCTCTGCCACTGGTTGAAGCAACGGCTTCGCTGTTGATTGCATGAAGAGTGCATTTGGATGCATTTGGCTCATGGGCCAAAATGGATTACGTCCCCAAGAAAGAGCTTCTAACACCTGCATGTTCCAGGGTTTCCATCATGATCACCCAATACAAGGTGTTTGCAGGTTTTACCTTTATATTTCACTATTTTGATATTATTTCATAGGGAAAATGGATGGAAAAGTATGATTTTCTCAACCGAAACATCCCCAAAAATCATGGCTTTCCAGATTTTCGATCCTAAAATTTTTAAGGTACTGTACCATATAAGGCCATATTTTCTGGGGATATTCCCTTAGATTTTCCCACAACAAACAGCCCTTCTCCAGGCCCCTGCGGCCGCCGCCGTTATCGCCGCCCGACGCGTGGCTCCGCCGGCTCCACCGCGCCGGCGACGCGGCGACTTGCCACGGCTGCCTGGACTTGGTCGACCTGAGGCGCCTGCAGACATCGTATATCATTAATATAAGTGTAATTATAGGTATATCTGTATAATTACATATAGATTAGAATATATAGATTAGAATAGATAGATCAGAATAGATAGATTAGAATAGATAGATTAGAATATATATATATGTATATAGTTAGATAGATAGATAGATAGGTAGGTAGATAGATAGAATGAATGAATACACGCATCTAATAATACATGTATGTATATGTGGATGTGGGCATGTCCGAACATTTCAGCAAAGGAAAACAGTCACCGAGAAAAAAGCAGACCTTGTCTAGGCATGTCGGAAGAAATAATTCCAATATCAGTTTTTGTTGCCGCTTGCACAGGCGGTGTGGAGCCTCTTTGATACTGCCTTCCCAAAAAAGTGTGTGCAAAAGCAGCCCGCTTTGAATTTCACGAGCAGCTCCCGGCGTGGCAAGAAAAATCACCCAGCCTCAGCCGTTTTTTGGCTTTGCGGCATGCTCCTAGAGACCAAGAACAACTCGCAGATGCCAACCCAACACCGCAAAAACATGCCATGCCAGCTGAAACTTTCAATTTTTCATCAAATCCTGGAGAATCCAGCTGTAGCTACCGCATGGGTGCAGCCAGTCCAGGGCTGAATTCTTCAAACTGATGTGAATTTTTGATATTCAAACATGTCTCCATATCCCCTGCTTGAAATTCTCGAGTGACTGGCAATTTCCAGGCTGTGTTTTGGAACTGGTGTCACTGACGCTGCGATGTGGAGTGACGTTAGCAAAGCTCTCAGCCTCTCTTGCACCATGTCTGGGTCAAACAGATTCAAACTGATAGCTCTGTAATTAGAGGATGATACTGCTACTACTACTACTACTACTGCTGCTGCTGCTACTGCTACTGCTACTGCTACTCCTACTCCTACTACTACTACTACCACTACTACTACTACCACTCCTACTACTCGTACTACTCCTACTACTACTGCCCCTACTACCACTCCTACTGCCGCTGCTGCTACTGCTACTGCTGATAAAAATAATGATCATATTCAGAATACTAATACAACAAATAATACTAATAGTAATAGCTATTACTTTTATTCATACTGTTTGGAATCATTGTTCATACCAACAAAAAATGATCTTTCATACTAATAAAACTAGTGATTCATAATATCAATATATAGTAATTATTATTGATAATACTAGTGGTTATTATTAAATTATCATTGTTGTTAATAAGCATCAGAGTTATTATGATTAATAATAGTGATGATCATTAATACTAGTAGAAAATATGGATAACAATAATGGAAATGATCATAGTACCGTAGACCCCATTTTCTTGGTATAGCTACATCCAGTTCCCAGCTACAGCTTCCCAGGCTTTGATCCAGAGCTATTTCTTTGATCCACAGGACGTCCCCCAAAAAATGGTTTGGTTTAAGGGAAAATCTGCAGGAAAACAGGATTTACTATAGGTTCTATGTAATGTTTTTTTTTTCAACCCAGGATTTACCACAGGTTTCCTGCAGACTTTCCTTTGAAATACTGGGAATGATGTGATGTGACATGACTCAGATAGTGGCATGCCTGGCTGCAGCCTGCGGCTGCGCCATCGTTGCGGAGACAAACTCCTTGCTGTACGGCTTGGAGGCGATGGGTGGATGGGTGGATGAGGGTCAGTACGGTCACTGCTATATGATATATTCATATCTTATCATTCTTATCTGCATCTATGTCATCATTATCTACATCATTGTCTATTCTTTTTTGGTTCCCAATCCTGCAGGATTTTTTTTTATTGTTGAGCAAGAGTTCATCAGTTTGGGTCAGACCGGTGCTAGGTGGGTGGATGGGTGGATGAGGGTCAGTACGGTCACTGCTATGGCTATATGATATATTTATATCTTATCATTCTTATCTACATCTATGTCATCATTATCTACATCATTGTCTATTCTTTTTTTGTTCCCAATCCTGCAGGTTTTTTTTATTGTTGAGCAAGAGTTCATCAGTTTGGGTCAGACCGGTGCTAGGTGGGTGGATGGGTGGATGAGGGTCAGTACGGTCACTGCTATGGCTATATGATATATTTATATCTTATCATTCTTATCTACATCTATGTCATCATTATCTACATCATTGTCTATTCTTTTTTTGTTCCCAATCCTGCAGGATTTTTTTAATTGTTGAGCAAGAGTCCATCAGTTTGGGTCAGACCGGTGCTAGGTGGGTGGATGGGTGGATGAGGGAGCACGGTCACTGCTATGGCTATATGATATATTTATATCTTATCGTTCTTATCTACATCTATGTCATCATTATCTACATCATTGTCTATTCTTTTTTGTTCCCAATCCTGCAGGATTTTTTTATTGTTGAGCAAGAGTTCATCAGTTTGGGTCAGACCGGTGCTAGGTGAAGCTGTAGATTCACCTGCAGGTTCACAAGACCTATAGCGACCTCGTCGCCTGTGTGCCGAGCGGGAAGGCTCAGAAATGTGTGATGACTACAGATGGATTTGTGGTTTTGACATTGAACTAACTTCACTTTGGCAGTGCCGCAGTGCATTCAAGATTCTATTATGTGACTGGTTCATACTGGTTTGGATTATTTGGATTATTTTCCACAATAGATGGGATGTCATCCTTCCCATTGACTGATATTTTTCAGAGGGGTAGGTCAACCACCAACCAGGTGAGGTGGGCGGGTGATTGCCGCTGTGATCCAACCAGTCTGGGACAAGCCACCAAGGTGAAGCCTTATCCTTGGCGAGGGTCCTTGGAAACCAAGGAGTTTCTGAAGATCTTTGAACTTGGAAAACATTGGAAATCACTCGAAACCACTGGAAATCACTGGACACTTTTACACATTTCTTCATTTTTCGAGATTTTCGGAGCGATAAAAAAGCCTCTGCCACGATTTTCGGGTCATCTCTCTGTGCTTGATCCTGGGCGGCTGGACTGTCCCGAGGCCATCCTGGTGTTACCCAGCATGTGTTGCTGGTTTTGCCTTCAGGCCGGCGGGAGTTTTCTTTGACGCGTTGGGTAGTGAATCGGACCTTGTTCCGGAGAGCCTCACCCCCCTTCCATTCAATCCGTGCTGAGAGATGACCATTTGTGTCAGATGGCACACTGCATGGGCCAGGGTGATAGCCCTGTCCCAGAGCCGAACGCTGTGTCGCGCAGTCGCAGCTTGTGTGGGGACCCCTGGCCGCTTGAAAGTGAGGCAGTACAACGTCTGCAGAATGAAAGGAACTTCCTCACATTGCTCAATAGGTGTCGCTGCTTTTGGTTTGCTTTCCCATTTTTTCAAAGGTATATCATGGCTCAAAATTACATAGCCCTAAAAATGGATGACGAAATACGACTTGGGTGGTGAACTACCCTGCTTATCAAAGGAAGTTTAGGGGGAGAAACTTCCGTGTTACGGACTTTTAGAATGTCAGGGAAAGAGTTAGTCAAAGAAAGAGTTAGCAAAGAAAGAGTTCGTCAGGGAAAGAGTTAGTCAAAGAAAGAGTTAGTCAAAGAAACAGTTAGTCAGGGAAAGAGTTAGTCAAAGAAAGAGTTAGTCAAAGAAACAGTTAGTCAGGGAAAGAGTTAGTCAAAGAAAGAGTTAGTCAGGGAAAGAGTTAGTCAAAGAAAGAGTTAGTGAGGGAAAGAGTTAGTCAAAGAAAGAGATAGTGAGGGAAAGAGTTAGTCAAAGAAAGAGATAGTGAGGGAAAGAGTTAGTCAAAGAAAGAGTTAGCAAAGAAACAGTTAGTCAGGGAAAGAGTTAGTCAAAGAAAGAGTTAGTGAGGGAAAGAGTTAGTCAAAGAAAGAGTTAGCAAAGAAACAGTTAGTCAGGGAAAGAGTTAGTCAAAGAAAGAGTTAGTCAGGGAAAGAGTTAGTCAAAGAAAGAGTTAGTGAGGGAAAGAGTTAGTCAAAGAAAGAGTTAGCAAAGAAACAAGTTAGTCAGGGAAAGAGTAGTCAAAGAAAGAGTTAGTGAGGGAAAGAGTTAGCAAAGAAACTGTTCCCTCACTGTAAATGGGATTGCAAGTGGTGCTGGTGGAGGAGTTGCCGATGGAGTTTTGGAGGAAGTCTCGCACGAAATGCGTTTTTGAGAGATAGCAGATGCACGAAACCCTATGTTTTTCCATACAAAGTCCGTCCCCGAACCTCGATGATCTACCTCTGCGGTGCGACGGGTGCGAGACGGTCTCGTGTGTGGTCGGATCATCTCGGATATCTCGGATTGGTCTCGGATCGGTCTCGGATCGGTTCCGCATTGTAAATGGGGTTTCAACTGTTTTTCGTGCATGTGTGGTCGACAGAATTCCATTGTGATTTGCAACTGTAGGATCGTTCCCGCATTGTAAATGGGTTGCAAGTGGTGCTGGTGGATGAGTTGCCGATGGAATTCCATTGTGATTTGCAACTTTAGGATCGTTCCCTCACTGTAAATGGGATTGCAAGTGGTGCTGGTGGAGGAGTTGCCGATGCAGTTTTGAAGGAAGTCTCGCACGAAATGCGTTTTTGAGAGATAGCAGATGCATGAAACCCTATGTTTTTCCATTCAAAGTCCGTCCCCGAACCTCGATGATCTACCTCTGCGGTGCGACGGTTGCGAGACGGTCTCGTGTGTGGTCGGATCATGGTCGGATCGGTCTCGGATCATGCTCGGACAATGGTCGGATCCGGTTCCATTGTAAATGGGATTGCAAGTGGTGCTGGTGGATGAGTTGCCGATGGAATTCCCATTGTGATTTGCAACTCTAGGATCGTTCCCTCACTGTAAATGGG